CATCGTTGTGTGCGGACCATTGTTAGTATCGGGTGGCACCAGCGTGTCTGCCGCCATGATGTGCGTAGGCGAGTATTGGGCAGTGATAAGCAAGTTAGTTTCTTAGAACTGAATAAGTTGCGTTGGCCTAGGCACGTACTACGTATGCCTGGTCACCGCTTACTTAGGAGGGTCTTGTTTAGTCTGCCAGATAGGTGGCGCAAATCTCGCGGTGGACAAAAGTTGACTTGGCAGCGTGAAATGAAGTCACTGACGACAAACTGGGTGCCGTTGATCCGTCTCGTCTTCCGGACTGAAGTCCACGTGATTTGCCTTGTGCTTGGCTCAAGACTTTACAAGACATAACTCGCAGTTCACAACGGTGGCGCGTCTGTTGCCGTCTCCTAGTCGGACTACCTGTTTGAAGTGTGTTTGATGCTGAGTTATCTGCAGGATTACCCCGCGGGGCAGTGAACACAGCAAGGAAGCTGTCTCGCCAAGGTCGCCTTATTTTTGCACGATAACCAGCTGTTTGTAACGGTATGTTGTTGTAGGTTGGCGCCCTGATCCTGAATGTTGGCTTAGGGCATTAAGTTTTTTTTTATTCCGTAGGTCAGCATGGTTGTTTGTCAGCGAAACATCAGTTCAAATGACTGATGTTCTGCTGTTGTTGATTGACTTGATTGACCTCATGTGTTTCTTCGTCCACTCCACTTGACCTTCTTGTACCCGCTTTGACCGAACGAGAAGATACCTCCCATTTTTCTGATGGAATTTGTACAATTGTATTAGGTGCTTCCTGCTTAAACTGCTGCATCTTACCCAATTGCATACCTCCGAGTATGGGGATGGATGGCTTGCGAGCTTTCCTTGTCCATTTATGCTTACTTTGTTACAGAGGGGCCTGTGATCTACCATGAACTTGAGCAGTCGTAAGTGCTATCCGATCGATCACTCAGTTTCCTCTAAGGTTGTTGGAGGATCCGCTGATATTAGTGAATTCTCCGACGGGTGACATACGCCAGCTTGTGGATCAAAATAGGGGCTGCATTCTGCTGCAGTATCCCCACTTGCAACACTCATGACTTCATAATCAAACCCACTTTGTTCTTGAATAAGACGAGTTCGGCCAACATCTGTTCAACGTTTATAAACGCGAAAGCCAGGCGCTTCGTTCACTGTAACTGAAAAGCGAATTTTCTGGGTACGAGATTAGTTTGTATAGGTGTGCTCTGAGGCTAGTACTACGTTTGTGATACCAACGGTTGCATATGCCACATCACACAATGCATGTATCTGTGACGGGCATGTGGTAGTTCAAGTTTTCACAAGCGGCACTTTACCTAACAGATAAGGGCCCCTTATGTACATCCGCGTCGATGTTTAGCGGGACAGACAGTAAAGTGAAAACCAGTCAACAAAACTATTACACTACTTCCTCAGTAGCGAAGTTAGAAAGAAAATGTGACAGCACACATGCTTACCTCACAGTGATGAAGGTTTTATATGGTTGCGAGAGCTTGTCATATGCCCTCACTCTGCAATGCTCGCAAAGCGCTCAGATAATGTTTGCGTTACTCCTACTACTGCTAATAACTCCGACAAACGTATTTTACTTACACGCCATTTTCATAAGTATGTTGCGACCCACTTTGTGCACCGAACGCGGATGAACTCGAAACCTCGAACCGGACGCTAAATAGCATTAATACGCGCTTGTGACGTGTCCGACTCTTTTCCGATGGAATCGATCCCTACTCGCCCATTCTTGGGACTCATTTTGTAATTGTTGTCGATATTTGTATTCCTACGTTTTAGACACAAAATTTGCTACTTTTGCTAGGGCCGTCACACGCAAGGTATATTTCCTCACAGCGCAACCGTTGTCATCATCATCTCTCCACTCGCACGAATGTGGTCGTTCGATTCAAGAGCCCACACACGAATGGCTTTGCGCGTTGTGTTTATTTCCACCGATTTCCCCGTAATCGTTACTCTTTGAGAGTACCCGTGGCATAGCTGTACGTTATCGGGCGCGTCCCAAAGTTGAGGATCGGGGAATGCCTTCCTTGTGAAGGTAACTGTGAATAAGTCTCCTTTGCTCCGCAAGTGAGATGAAAAAGCAGTCGTGGACAATCAGCAGCAGCGTTTTACAGTGTGGGTAGTCCTGGGCTAGTCACCACAAGAGCTCCTACGGCGCAGTCAAAGCCAATGTGACCGGCTTAATGGTCACTGACCACTCACTTCTGTAACCATAGGTGGACCTAATGCATGGCATATGAACAACCTTGATGGCCAGCAGATTCTGTGTGCACTGCTACCTAACACTGAACTCGTATGAGCCACATGGCTATCAACGCCCTTATACTCCGTGGTAAGTCAAATTCCAAAATTGTTTTCTGATCTTCGTGTCGTTATGTTAGGGGAGTTCAGGTGCCATAGATGGTTCACTACTACTAGAAAGTCGTGTTACTGGCTTCAAACGGTTCGCGATATTTAATCTCTCCGCTGCGTTGTGGGTCTGGTCTTTATGATTCAAGGCTCCGGGTGGGGTCCCCTGAGTCAGCCCTGTTCCTCGGTCTGGATAACCAAGAAGCTGTCTGTCCACAAAACACATGAACAAAAACCTACGTAGTAACACTCTCTGCCTTCGCTTTCCTCGGTCGAAGTGTTTGCAGCTGGATCCGCTATACCATGCTCTACCGCAACACCTACATGCTTTGTTCTACATTTGTAAAATGCACCCACCTCTGGTGTCGGGTCTCCGACAATGTGCCGCCTTGAGGTACAGTTTAACCGTGTCGATGAACAGCTCAAGACCGTCCATGTGCCATGCAATCACTACAAATTCAAGTTGCTCGTTTTCAACGTCCGGATGCAAGTGCAGATAGGGTCGCAGACAGCCCTTGCTTGCACTCGACATGTGTTTCCTAGCTGAGACCCTCTTTCAGAACTCCAGCGCAACTCTACGACTGCCATCACATGCGTGCTTCCACGGTGCGTTCACACTACGATTCTCTGGAGACACAACTCATGAAGCGGCGACTTTGGCCGGTGTGGGAATTTCTTTAGACGCGTGTGCAGAGGCTGCGCTGCTTGTTTGGATCCCGGTAGCTAGCCGACTCTATGCGTTTCGGCTTGAAAACTGTACGGTTGTCCAGTCGCCAAACTACCAAACGCTGTTTGTTTGTCAGCGACGTATCCTCCCAAGGATAGCAGCCCGTACTGAACTAAAGATGAGTTCTTCCATCAACTCTCTAACCTTCATACGAAACGCCGCACGGATCTTGTAGTGTTCTCTGCGGACTTAAACACGCACGTTGGTAGGCTAGACGCGACCTCGGTGGTTTGCATGGTTATGGTACTCGCAGGACGGATAACGGAGAACACACTCTACAGCTCTGTCCTGATCACGGTCTATTCCTTACAAGCACAAACTTCCGGTACTCCTGGCGACCGCCTGGACAGCGGTCGATGCAGATTGACCACATCGCCAACAGTTACCGTTGACGAGGCTGTATGATGGACCACAAATCAATTTGTAGTACTTATCTCACCTCTGATCACGCACTTGTATCTTAGCCGCATGTATACAACTTGACTATGAACTTTTCTTAGGGTTACTACACACCGCCAGTATCGGCCCTTACATTATTCCGGTTTATTATACCCCAACCGACTGCAGTCTGGAGGGTTTGGAAAACGATTTCTATCGTCAGCTCCTATTTGTATGACGATAAATGCTGATATTGTGCCCACTGCTAGTGATATGAATGTCTAGCTGACTCCGATGTACGTCGAATAGATTCCTGTAACTATGTGCTATTCACAACCTCTATATTTACAGCAAGAACCTTCACACCATGCTGCCTAGTGCCCACCGAATTCCCCAAAGACCTGAAACCAAATTGACCATATTGCCATCATGTGCAGATGGTGCACATCGGTCAGTTGGGGGTACGTGCTTGGATTCCAACCCTGTTCTGTTACTCTCGCTGCTGCCACTACTACTACGACCGACGACGACTACGACTACCTCGCTGCCGCGTAGTCACCACCGGTCGCCCGTGAGCTAAGGATACTGCAAGGGTCGCCGTGCCCGTGCGCGGTCTCAAACCGGCGCCGTCAGATTGTGTTTAGGCTGCTGGCTTAGGCACGAGTAAACATTATCACGACGAAATAGCTCACTGGCTGTCATTGATGGGTCCGTTTGGCGAACCGTTTTAAGTCTACTATAATGAATGCTTTTGATGTCTGCTGTGCTTCCAATGTGAGACGTCCTATCTATGAATTTCTGAGATGTTGATCTGTTTCATCGAAGCACACAAACAGCTACGTTAGGTACAAATTTCGGCGTGCGTTGTTGACCGTGGCTACTGAACTGTTCGTCGGAACCTTTTAAATAAATAAATTTTTATTCTCGATTACGCGAAGCACGTTTGCACATGCATAATCATGGTAAGTATTCAAGTGATCAAGCAATGTACAATAGTATAATAGGGTTGTCAGCTATGTTGACACATGTATGTATCTTTGTGTGCTGCACCTTTGCTTGTGTTTGGATGTGTCGCCAGTGCTAAAGTGATGTTTGACGTCCGTGGATTTGGAACGATTCTACGGATAAGCAGACCTGCTGCTACAGTGCTGCTTGCCTTACCACTTGAATCCAATTGGGAAATGGGTGTCGCATCTCTTACCTAGATCTAATTGTCATAGAGTAGGATGACCTTGTGTATACGGCCTTTCAAACCGAGAATAACCCACTTCTTACGTCACAGATGTCACAGTTACAAGAAGAATCTTTCAGTTCTTGCAGTAGGTGAACTGATTTCCTTGGTGGTTATACACCCATGGTTTCTGACGCAGCCGCCAAGGTAGGTGAATTGAGCAGCTGCCTCGTTCCTCGATATCAAAAGTTAATGGGTTATCAAGTGACTGGTAGTCCTGCAACAATACTTTGTACTTTGAATATGCGAGGCCCGTGCCGAATAATAAGATTACTCTCAAAATGTTTTCCAGGGTTACTTGGATCAACCCGGCGTCGTTAGACAGCGAAACACGATCGTCCACATAACCAACTCAAATTAGTTTTCCATCTGGCACCACCTTAACGCCTGCCTCACGCGATTCCGCAGGGGAACACTCCATGATGGATTTCACGATGAAGTAAACAACCTTGGGTCACCTGGACAACCCTGATGAACACGACCTATTGTTGGTAAGACACCCGATAAGTCACCGTCGACCTTGTTGCGGCTTCTGTTGTTCGAAAACAAGGCACGTGGTGTTCACATATTTCATTGCAACACGTTTCTGCACAAGTATTAAGAACGGAATTGGCCGATTCTTGTGGTCCAGAAACACAGATCTTGTCGATCTGCGGCACGTGAGACGTTTTTTTCTGACATCTGTTGCAGCGACAATATATGATCGATACAGCCCCGTCGTAGACTGTAACCAGGTTGCTCTCCCTTGATCCGGAATTCCCATTCCGCGGTGGGGCTACGAACAAGAACTTAGGCCATTCGTTTTGCCACCACAATATGGTCGGTGCGGCTGTCATTCTTGTATGTTGTCGCTATGATCGATTTACTCCAGTTAGTTAGGATGATCTCTTCCTTCCAGACCTGTTCGAACAAGGAGAAATGCGCGCCACTGACGAACCCCACTAGGGCAACGCGGTCATCTGGTGCTTTTCTGAATTGTCGCGCTTTTGTGCAGCTGGGACGAAACAGTTAACTTTCATCTAAAATCCTCATCATCACTACTCGTGAAGGAGTTAAGAGACTTGGTCTGGCTAGCGCTAACCGGTTTCTTTTTTGGGGTCTTCGGGATGGTGTACATCCAGTTGGACTATCGAACATGGCGCAGTCAGTTACGCTCCACAAGCTAACCGGTAATATTCATCCCATCTCAAGCGAATCAGTAGAGCTCTATCCCCATTATTTTTACACACCTCTTTCTCAACTCCGTTTTTTTCGTATTCTGTTTCCCTTCAACTTCATTCTCTTACTAGTTATTGTTATCCTGGCGCCGTGAGTCGTTACAACCGGATCCACCGCGCTTCGGTACTAGGATCACAGTTTTTAACTGAACTAATCCACTTTTCTACCTATGCTTTGCTTTCTGTAGCCCTGTTCATACACCAAATTCCGTGGAGACCTTGTGATCAACCTTTGACCATGCAACAACTAGTACGAAGTGTCTTCTCCCACTTCACTAGATCTTACAATGTGTCACACAAGCGCGGCCATGTGCCCCTTTATTAGCGTTTATAGCTCATGTTCCGTACATACTACATTTACTTCTTCGGATCAACAGTCAATTAACTCGTCCCGTTTTCCCATTCATCATGGCCCTTGGCCACCGAATGCTCAGCAAATGGCCCAATTGCTCCGAAGAACTAATGTGACGATATGCCACAATTAAGCACCTGATTTACTGCACCGATATGTCGTACAGGTCTTTCAATGCGTGCGTGCTACGATTGCTACGACGTCACCCGCGCCTGCATGTGTAGTACAATATAGGTATCTTAGCTGCTATTTTAAATTCCTCCCTCCAAACAGCTCCCCAGCATATAGGCGTACTCGGAAACTGGTATCCATATGAAGACATTTTTAAACACCGACTTACCCCTTTTCGTTTCTGCTATATATTTCTTGTTTTTCTGGTTATAACTGATGTCAACTTTGGCCTTTACTGAATAGGCGCCCGTGAATTCCTCTTCACTGTTTTGCTATTTGTTGTATGATTACCGTGAAATTTCGCATTTCTCCACTTTAGGACACAATGTTGACTTCCACATCTATTAGGACCGTTGGACAGTTCATTCGAATTATAGGCCTTCTCTCCTTTTTACTATTTATTTCGGATTCTGCGGTCGATGTACCCGAGCTTACAGCAGATAATTTCGCAACAAGAATTAAGGAATATGAATTCGTTCTAGTCATGTTCTACGCTCCGTGGTACGCGTTCCTCATGAGTGGCGTTGTGACTTGCTTCATTCAGGTGTGGGCACTGCAAAAAGCTTAAACCCGACTTTGAATCGGCGTACAAAGAAATTACAGAATCAAGACAAAATGTTCTACTTGCTAAAGTCGACTGCACTGTACATAACTCACTTTGTTCGGACCATGGCGTCACAGGTTATCCTACCCTAAAATTTTTCTCCAATGGCGTTCTTTCTGGAAGTTACGAAGGCGAGAGAAACAAAGGTAACTGATGTCCCTTTCCGTGTAGACACAAATTAGCCGCTATCGTGAAATATGTTCTCAAGAGATCCAAAAAATCTGCTTTGTTGAGTTCTTCCGCGGAACTGCAGCAACTTTTACAAAGCTCCGACTCTCTCGAACAACCCACCTTGGTATCATATGTGGCGTCCACAGATGACCCGGCATTCGATGTGCACCGGAAGCTTGTATCTGAGATGGTTGAAGACTGCGTTTTTGCTTACACTCACGATTCCTCCGTTCTGGGTCTACCCGACAAAAAGTGAGTTACATCTTGTGAGTACATTTTCAGAAGTGCCATGCTTTTGTTCAGGCCCGGTAATTTTAAGTATGTTTTGGAAAGTGCCAAAGTACAGTATAGCGGAGAATACTCCTCCTCTAAAATAAAGGATTGGATACTAGAATCTGGGTAAGTCTGTCCGTTTCCACATTTTTCCAGGCAAGGGCTCGTTGGTTATCGTACTGCGCATAATCTGAACTACTTCCCTAAGAATAATCTGCTTGTGTTTTACCACAATGCTTCAGTCGGAAACTATCCCACAGGAGTCAATTACTACCGCAACCGTTTAATTAAGACAATTATCGATCACGGGCTCACCGCTTCCGGTCTAACTTTCGCATATAGTTATAACGGCGACTTTTATCACGAACTCACGGACTTACGTCATGATACCAGTCAAGACTTTCCTTTTATTGCAATCTTCTCTGGTGATCTCAAATATAAGCTGGATGTGTACAGGTATTTGTTGCATATTTCCCATTTCGTGCAGTCGTGATGCCTTCATTGAATTCGTAGAAAAGTTCCAGAATAAATCCCTCACTCCGTTTATTGTATCGGAGGAAGTTCCTACAAAGCAGGAAGGTGCAGTCGCCAAGGTTGTCGCTTTGAACTTCGATACGATCGTAAATGACCCCGAGAAGGACGTTTTCATCATGTTTCATGCTCCTTGGTGTGGCCATTGCAAGCAGCTGATGCCCAAGTTTGTGGCTGCTGCTGAGCGACTATCGAATGAACCAGGCATTTTATTCGCCACCTTTGACGCAACGGCAAATGACGTGCCAAAACCATACGTCATCAATGGTTATCCAACTCTCTATTTCTCACCGAAGAGTGCAAAATCATCACCTTATCTCTATGAGGTTTGTTCATTGCTTCCTACTACAATTTTACCTCTTAGGGCACCCGAGAAACAGATCCTCTGGTCGAATATGTGGCTAAGGTGGCTACAGAAGAACTCCGAGGATATAATCGGGATGGTAAAGCGAAAAAGACGGAATTGTAGTTGCAATCAATGTAGGACTTCATATCCACGTTTCATGTATCATTAACTGGACAAAGTACCTTCCACTGTACTGGTTTACGATGGTTGTTTTGAATATCATTTTCTTGTTTGTGTTGTTGCACAATCTTCGTGACAACTCGCTGTGATCATGTTATCGCATCACCTTCTGTACTGCAATGCCGTGCATCTGCGCAAATTTAACACTTTCCGTTGGTAACTGCATCTCTCTGAACCACGCATACTCCGAGATTCTCAAATGACATACTGCCTATTGTATGTCTCCTCCTAGGATGACCAATGTGACGACGTCCAGCGAGGATTTTCTCGCCGAAATCCACTCCTCACCAAGGCAAGACGAAGTGGACAGTGACTGCGCTAGGCTTAATCGGTGCCCGATTCAAATGATTACTATGTGCCACTCTCCGCATTCTAATTTATTCGTCATCGTATACCCCCTGTATCCTGCGCAATAACATTTCTACACATAGTTGGTGGCATCCGGTTCCGGATTTGTCTGTCACTGTGGCCCCCATAGGACCGCCACAGGGTACCTGTGCCCACAAAGGTACCATGGGTGGCTTGCGCTGCACCACCCGCAGTTCCATCCGCACACCCCATATCCAATGTAAACCCGAAGGAATAAGACCAGGAGGCATGTGGATGGGAGCCACGTTTCATCAACGGAGCAGGCTCACACTACTTCAACATGCACAGCAGCAGCATTCCTGTCTATCTATGTAGGGAATCATGCGTACCAGATGTACACAAGGCAGTGGCTGGGCATTGTTCCGCTTCACACTGGATGGGACCACTCTTTAAGCCTGGCACTGCCACGAGGATCGTGCATCTCGTCCCCCCCAATAACGACCAGCTGTCTCCTGGAACCAGTATGATACTGGTAGGCACCTTGTCAACATTCATATCAAGCACAGCCACACCGGGAATTTTCAACCAACACAGCACTTAAGGGAAAACAAACAGACAAAGTGGACGCAGAATTTGCAGCAGAATAACAGAATTGTGCAAACCAAATAAACTGGAACAACTTTTATCCAAACCAAAAAGATATAGTCTAAGTGTAAGTTGGTTTAATCCAACTGCGGTGAAGAAGCATCACAAATACAACATGAGCCCTCCAGCTACGGTTGGCTTCATCTGGTTTCCGATTTGCCTCACTGTGGCCTCCATGGGACAGCCACAAGACTCCTGCGCACCAAGAGGGACCATGATGATTTGTTTGCGCAGCACCAACCACACATCCCATATCCAGTGTAAACCCATAGGCATAAGACCGGGAGGCAGGTGGATAGGAGCAACGTTTCATCATCAGCAGCAACATTCTTGTCTATCTAGAGAATCATACGTATCGGACGTCCACAAGGCAGTGGCTGGACCATATTCCACTTCACAACAGATGGAACCACTCTTTGAGCCTAGCATGGCTACGATGACCGTGCACCCCGTTCCCTCCAACAATGGCCGGTGGCCGAGTGGTATGCGCGTCTGGTTTGCAACCATAAGTTCACCGGTTCGAATCCGCATAGGGACGGGCGTCCTCGCATTATACTCAGCCCACGCGCGACTGGTGATGGTCGCGTGGCAGCGAAGCGCCTTTACGGCGTACACCTGGCGATGTATTATTATTATTCTGAAGCAAGTAATCGTGGTGGAGAGTGTTAGTCAGGTAGGCACCTTGTCAACATGCACATCAATCGCAGCCACATCAGGGATATTCAACAACCAACACCGAATTTGGGGGGAAGCAAGCACGCAAAACCGACACAGTATATGCAGTAGAATAGCAGAATTGAACAAACCAATAAACTGGATTGACTGTTTTTCAGATTAAAAGGATCGAGTTAGTTGGTTTAGCCTCTCTCTCTGGAGATGGGGTGTGTGGATGGAGCTGTGGGTGGTGCAGCTCAAGCCACCCCTGGTCCCTCTGTAGGCGCAAGCGTCCTATGGCTGGCCACAGCGACAGGCAAATTCGAAACCGCAGTTAGCGTAAGCAACGTGGCCAGTTAATAGAACATTATTCAGGTAGGCAGAACAAACCATATGTTTATGTATATATGTACACTGGATATGGGGTATGTGGTTGGAGCTGCGGGTGGTGCAGCGCAAGCCATCCATGGTCCCTCTGTAGGCGCAGGCGTCCTGTGGCTTGCCACAGTGACAGGCAAATCCGAAACCGGATGCCGCCAACCATATATGTAGTATTGTAGAGCAATTAGAAATGAATCCTGTACAACTTTTTCGAAATATGGTGAAAATCACCATAAAATTGTATGCCGTGAATATCGTTATCGTTGTCACGTAATATTTAAAATATCTGACTCACCGTATTGTAGGACTCGCAAATGTGAGATGTCATCTTAAGTGTGCGATCGTTCTCTACATTGAATAAAGTATAAATCTAACAGCCTTATGAACTCCTGCACTGATGTTACCTTAATTACACGTTCACACAAACTGTTTCAAATATTTACCACTCTCCGTTCGAAGCACAGCCGGTGGGGAGCTCACTTCACATCCGACACGACAACTTTGTATCTGTGTCCGCGTGTGTTGCATGGCCCTCGTAAGCGCAGCATTGACCTCAGCATGGGAAACTCGCTGAGATAAGTCATATCGAGGTCAACTCGCACCCGACGGTAGCACAAAGTGTAGGGTCCTAGTTTCTTGCATTGGTCTTCATATCCTAAGCCACGTAAACTCGGGATGAGCCTGGTAGCAACGTGTTGGATTTGTTCGATCGTTTGTGCCTCACCTCGGGTAATCGAAAAGTAGGCGGGCAAACCGTACTCTAGCATTGGTCTAATGATGGAAGAGATATCAGTTGACATACCAAAGGTCCCTGGTTCGAGTTACAGTACTGCAGTGTTGCGAACGGGCATTTGTTCACACTTGTGTATGGACTACCACAAACTGGATGGGGAAACAATGACCCTCATGAATCATAACACTACGTACGTGCATGAGGTTGGATTGAATGAAAGAGTAACAGCCACATTTTTCTAGCTTTAGAAAATCGCACTTAGAATTGTAAGTGATCAATACGACTGTCCAATGGTTAGTTAGCGTTTGGATGTGAGCCTAAACGGCAGTCTTAAGTTTAGTCAGAAATGTGGGTATCAACAATAGATTGAGACAGATATGGAAATACGGAAGCAAATGCCGTGAGTATGGTTACCAGGTAGAATGATGCACAACTAAATGTGCCGTAAAACACAGATGACTTAAGGTTCCTGTGTACTGTACATGCTGTCTGCTATAAGCGTTGGTAGACCATAATATCATACATTTTCTGATGGCCCTCTTGACGCTATCACATCGCCAACACATGTAGTAAATTCCGCTGCTCCCTGTTCTACCATTGGCTTTCGAAACAGTGTGCAAAATGTTTTAGCAAATTTACATAAATTATCTTGCACAGCATCTAATTATCTATTATCTCAAATGAGTATGTGGTGGGACACCTGGGCACGATGGTATCCTCACAGCAAGGTTTAAAATGGAACTATAGGACTAATTAATACTAGTCCGAGACGGTGCGCGAATTTAAGCGCGGATATCGGAAAGCAATTGGAGTCGGCCACAGAGGACTGTGTTCGAAGGGCTACAAGAAGACGCGGACGGATGAAGCGAGACAAGCGCGAACACGTGAGCGCGGGAACTTACAGGGCGGTCGAGTGTTGAGCCGGTTGTAAGGAAGATTAAAACAAGAAAGAATAATGTACAATCGGTCAACAATTAAATTGTACATGAAGGATGGCAGTTCTTTTTGGGCGCTACAGAGCCCCCACCCCTAGAAGACTGAACATAGAAAGCCTTCGATTTCGAAAAGTACTGTTGTATCGAGGTTCGCAAGGCAAAATCGTGCCGAGTAAAAATGAGCGAGCGTTCGTGTCAAATGGGGGGTTCGCCGGAAGTCCGAGTCCGCTGTGCCGTTTGTCACTTGTTATTTATTGATTGCAGGGCAGAGTGCATTTCGGCGAGCAGTTGAAGTGGGCTTGTTGGACTACACAAAACTGACTAGCCCGGAAAATGGCCGACAGGACCTCAATCTCCGCTGATGCTAAACGGTGCGCTTGGGAGTGGTCTATCTCCCCACCACACCCCACCCCGCGCCAAAATGACCCTCGTCCCACGGAGAAACGACCATCGTCCTACGGGGAAATGACCATCGTCCCACGAAAAAACGACCGTCATCCCACGGAGAAGCGACTCGTCCCGCAGAGAAACGACCAGCGTTCGCGTCAGGGTCCTCGAAAACATTCCTCGTGTGGACCATTCGATCGAAGAGGGGGTTGGGGCATGTAGAGACGAGAAAACAAAAGACGTGCAGAAAACGTCAAGAAGAACGAACGAATGATCTGTGTTTAAATTTTTTTAGTTTTCGTATATTTTTTATAGGTTTCTCGGAGGTTTCTATTATTTTTGTTTGTTTTCAAAACGTTAATCGACCAAAAGCGGGGCAAATATATACAATATCTATAAAACTAAACGCATTTACACTATATAGTCGGGGAAACGAACCAGCTTACGCACCTCCGATCACGGTGGCGTGCTAGATTCGGGAGGCCTCGAGACGGCTGAAGCTTGTAGACCGAGATCGTGGTCTGGTTGAACTGCACTAGGATTCTGTAAGCTGGTGTGGTGAGTTGTGTGGTCACACGAAGCACTATTAGACGAAGTAGGCGAATTAGTTTCTTCCATAAATGCGGGTTTTAGACGGTCGTTGGTGATGACTTCGTGTCGACCACCGCGGTCAATAGTGTACGTCTTATTCGCATTGTGTAACACTTTGAGGAGTCCTATGTACGGCGACTGAAGTGGCTGTCGGACACCGTCTGCACTAAGAAGGACATGTGAGCACGTAGACTGCTTCTCAAGCACGTACACTGGTTTCTTCTGCGATCGAGGAGCGGGTGGACGCAGCTCACGCATCTGGTGAACCAATCGATCGGTGTAACTTCCGTAGTCAAAAAAGGTAGTAGACGGGGCTGGTGCTACCAGCTGTCCGGGCAACCGCAGTGTGCAGCCGTAGACTAGCTGCACTGGTGTTGCATCGAAATCGGTTTTAACAGTGTTTCTTAATCCTAGGAGGACGACGGGGTGTTTCAAACCATGAAGGATCTGCGGGCGCCCGTAGCGCTGCCTTCAACTGGTGGTGAAGTCCCTCCACCATACCGTTATTGGCCGGATGATACCCCTTCGTCTGAACGTGGCGACAGCCTGGATCCTTAAGCAACGTGGCAAATGTCGACGAGAAATGTGACCCTCGGTCGGTGGTCACGATGGCGGGACAGCCGTATTGACCTACCCAGTGCTCCAGAACAGCTTTCATACCATTTCTGAAGAGCAGTTAGATATGGGAATAGCTTTCGGCCACCTAGTGAATCGATCGACACAGGTCAGTAGATACACATAG